GCGGCATGTTAATAAGTTGTTTCCGGGAGTTGGATTTCTGGTCAGAGATTGCATCTCTGCTGACTTGGTTGATGACTGCCCTATTCTTGCTCCGTGGATCAGTAAAGGGTATGTTTCGATTATCCGTTGTTTTCTTCAAGGTAGATGGATTACCTTTCTTTCCGCTTACTGCCCGCAAGGTAATGAACATGATCCTTGCTTAAACGACATTTTTGATTTTTTGACGGCGGGGATTTATCCTGACATCGTCCTCCTTGGCGATCTCAATGAAGATGTCAAAAGCCCCAACCTTCATTCGTTTCTTCATTTTGGCAGGATTCGTTCTCTCACTGCTGAAAGTTCCGCTGACTTTCACACCTACAGATCCAACACCCGGGGTGGTTGGTCTACTACTGCTATTGATCACATTCTTTTTGTTGGTCCTGTCCGTGAGCAGTCTTATGACCTTCGAGCTTTGTGGCCGAGGGAGCAAGGGCATGCTGTGATCGCTTGTTCCGTTTGTCTTTGTACTCCCATGCAAAGCCGATGCCAAATTATTGTCCCTCCTTCTCTCACACAGCAGGTTCTCGACAAAGATTGGGTCTCTATTCCTGCGAGCAGTGTTTGTGAAATGTGGGATACTTTCACGAACAACGTTTCTTCTTTTGTTCCTGGTTGCTTTGAGAAGGGTACTTTTCCTAAATTCAAGGTCAGGGATGAGTTTCGCTATTCCCAAGTTGCGGAGAAAGTTCGCGATGCCATCGCTCAGGAAGATTATGAGTATTGCAATCTTCTTCTTACGAATTTACACAGAGTCTCTGAGCGTATGCTTTCTAAATGGCGACAAGGCCTCTCGCCCAAGCAGTGCCCTCGAAAATGGACTTCTAACATTGCGAGATGGATTCGCAAGAGCGCCCCTCCCCTTCCTTTTTCGATTGAGTGCGGTAGTGATGCTAACGCGCGTACCGTGGGTGTTAGGGAAATGCAAAAATCTGTTTATGCTTTCTACAACAGCCTTTTCAATCGTCATGAGCATCAAAGTTTCGTCTGGGCTCCTTGTGAGCCTACCAGCACTGCGGATGACTTTTCTAAAGTTCTCCCGCTTGTTATCGGTAAGATGAGTGTTAACAAAGCTACCGGGCTTGATGGTATTCATGTCAAAGACTTCAAGTTTCTTCCCAACAGAGCCATTACGGACCTTGCCAAGATTTTCGCCAGGATTCTTGTTGAAGGTAGATGTCCTCCTTCTTGGGTGAATCTCAGACTTGTTCTGATTCCCAAAAAAGGCGGTAGTGTTGGCATCAAAGATCTTAGGCCTATCTCTGTTGCTTCGGTTGCCTACAGGATTTTTGCTAAATCCTGTCTTCTTCTTTGTCAGCAAAAAACCGCTAGCATTCACGCTCGGTCTGTGGGGGGCGTTCCTTCTCGCTCCGGGGAAATCGCCTACCTTAAGGTTGGCATTCTGCTCGAGAAGCTGGTTTCTTCTGGTTCTCATGGTTCGGGTATTGGTATTGATACGCAGAAGTTTTTTGACAGCATCCCGTTTGATCTTGCTGTCATGGGTCTTCGTGATATCGGTGTTCCGGATGACATTTTGCGTGTCTGGATTTCGTTCATCCAGTCTGTCAAGAGATTTGTTACTATTCACGATAGTATTCTTGATATTCCGATTTCTTGCACCAACGGTGTGCCGCAAGGTGACCCTATTTCAATGTTGTCTGCCGCGGCTTGTCTCAGTAGGTGGCTGCATAATCTTTATAGCATCCCCAATGAACTTGAGTTTGAGGGCTGGGTTTTCGTTGACGACCGTATGCTGCTTGCTGGTCTGTACAATCGCGAAGATGTTGATATCTTCCAGCATCTCTTTGCAAGTATCGAGACTTGGGACGATTCATTTGGTTTCAACACGCGCCCTAAATCTGTGCAGTTTTCCGTCAATGGTCCGTCTGTTCTCCACTGGAAAGACGGTAACCCTGTTGATTCGGATACCACCTTCACATATCTTGGCGTCCCGCTTCCTCTTCCCAAAACCTCCCGCGCGAGCTTTTTTGCCGATAAAGTTGCGGAGGCTCAGCGTGTCTTCCATATGCTTCACAAAGCTGGCGACAACATCACGAAGGAGGTTTGTGCTTACGTGTACACCTCAATTATTTTGCCGAAGTTTGCTTACACTTCGAGTATGATTCGGCCTGTTAATCACGACTTGGATGCGATTAGGGGCAAGGGCTTGAGTCTTTCGTTTGGCTGCCCTCTTTCCAACCACAACGCCGTCTTGGCTTTGGTACTTCCTTGTCATCGGTTTGATCCCAAGTCTGTTTTGGTTTACTCTTCCCTCACTCGGTGGGAAAGAGTTTTCCAGAAGCATGGTGTTCTAGGGTCTCTTTGCGATTACAGCATGATTAGCGGGCGTAAGTCTGGTTTAGGCCCCATTCGTCTTTTTCTTGATGACCTTTCTTACTTGAATTGGCATATTCGTCAGGACGGTTGCATCAGCACTCATTGCCAATTTGTTTGGGATCCTGGCAAAACCGACTTGAATCTTCTGAAGCATCATCTTAGAGATGCCCTCCGCCGGGCTCTCCTTCTCAATCTCGGGACTTCTTGGGAGGGTTGTCAAGAGGCTTGTCTTGAGTTTTCGCGTAAGCTGATTAGAGTGTGGAACAGGCAGCATCCCCTGTGGCATGTTCTCGCTCGTACGCTTTCGAATGCCCATCCCACTCCGCTTCGTTTATGGCGAATGAATAAGCAGATTCATTCTTTTTGCCCTTATTGTCAATGTGAATCGGCTGATATCTATCATTTCCTCCACGAGTGCCCCAAGTTTGAACACATGAGGGATCGTTGCCCTATTCCTTCTTCCAGAGATTGGCCTCGCTGTGCTCAAAACATGCTTGTTTGTACTGTTAACATGCCGGTTCATGTCCGAAACAAATGGGACAAGTACCAGCATTGGGCGTGCGAGACTCTTTCTCTTTGGATGGCTTTTGAAAGAGAAAGTCGGTGTTCTCCTGACAACAACATTCCTACTTCTATCTCGGCTCCTGAGGTTGGTTGTATTCAGCATCCTCGCACACAATGGCCGTCGTTTGCTTCCATGCCCAAAATGAATTGGTCTCCTTTTACTTCTCGTGCTGAGTGGACCTCCTGGAGAGGTTCGCTTCCTCTCTTTGCCAATCTGTTCCTCTTTTGGTCGCTTTGGAGCAGAGATGATTCTGCTAGCAGTGAAGTCTCTTGGCTTTATGCCTTCACTCTTTTTCTTGAGTTGGTTGGTCCCGCGGCGGACTTTTTCAAAGCTAAAGGGCTGACGGTTCTTCAAGCTACTTTTTCGTTCAGAAACCTTAGTGAAGCTCTTTGGACACGCTGTGGTATTTCTGTTCAGGAAACCGGTCAGAAGAGATATCTGCACAGATCTCTGCCGGCGGTTTGGCCTTGTCCGTTTGGTATTCCGCCCGTTCAGTCTTCGCAAGTTTTTCCTTCGGTCATGTCTGGTCATCTTCGTAACAAGTTCGAAATGAACTTGGGTGAGCATCTTTCGGTTTTAGTCGAGGACCTTGATGGTTGCCATAGTCGTGATGTCGTTTCTTTGGTGTCTTCGCTGCGCAAGCCGCTCCCCAAAATTTCGGCGCCTCCTTGGTGGTCGGTTTGTTCTCATATTTGTCAAGCTGCCGATTGTAGATACAAAAGCGTGGATGATAAGATTTTCGTCCGTGCGGGTGGTGGTTTGGAGCAGTTTCTTGCCGAGGATTTGCCTATTCTTCCTCACGATGTTATTCTGAGCGCGTTAGGCTGTAAACTTCCTCTTGCTTCGCTTCTTGCTTTGCAGCGCACGTGGGCCAAATTCAGAAAAAGAATTGCCTGCTACAAGACTGGTCACTTGATCGGTGCTTGGACGTTCTCTCGTGATTTCAGGTGTTGTTTCTGCCGCAGAGCGCCTTCGATGTGTGACTCTAAGCGTGCTAACTCTTCGTGCTCTGGTCCTGAAGAGTCTTCTCTTGCGAAACTCGCCTCTTTCTGTGACCAGGTTTTAGGCTCTATTCAAACTGTTATTAACAAAGTGCAATTTTCTGGGATCGAGCTCCGTGTTGGTGAGAACGGAGCGCCTGTTTTGGAGAACTTGCTCGAGTCTCTTCTTTCTGATGCTCAGTCTCTCGATTCTGCGTCACTCCCTTCGTTTCTTGACACGTTTTGCACTGCCCCCCAAAGAAACGCTTTCTTTGTCGGTATGCTGGGTCGTTGGTCCAGCTTGGTCGGGTTTTGGCAAAAGGGTAAGCATTGTTACGTTCCCTTTGATCTCACGTGCAGAGATGGTTTCTGCGTTTCCTGTTTCACTCGGTGCCCTAACTTCGCCAAAAGGCTCAAATCTTTTTGTGGGCGGCCTTGTACGTCTCGTGCTTTGAATACTGAGGCCAACGACGCCAGGTCTATCATTCTGGAAATCCAGAACCTTCTTCTTAAGTTGAGCTAATCCGGCTCCCCTCTATGACATGACCGCTCTTTGAGACTTGTGGAGCCCTTCTTATTCCTAGGCTACTGGGCATCCTAGTTAAGGGGCTCGTAGGTGAGCCACTGCCAAATAAGAGTCCTCATGTCAGGATCCTTACTGCTCTCCTTTTCAGGCCAAGGATGGGTTTAGAAGCTCTTAGGGTTTTGGAAAGTCTTTCAGAAATTAAGAGGAGGAGCTTAGAATACTGGTTTTGTAGAGTTCAATCAGTTTTTCCAAGAGGCTGTGAAGATATCAGTTTCCTGTGTTTTCGCATCTTTCGCCTAGGCGTAGCCGAACCTGAGCTGTAGTCAAAGTCTTCCAAGGCCAACCTACCGCCAGAATGAACCGTAAACCCCGTGAAGCACGGCACACAGAGGGACCCTTGAAAGGAACCCCTCAAGGGAGCCTACAGCAGGCCTACCACGGTGTACTATTTTGGGGGTTCCTTATTCTGATGGTCGTATAATGGGCCCCAAATCCCTATTAAAAAAATATTAAAGGCCCCTATAGTGAACAGGCCTACCACGGCGTTCCCATCATGGTGAATCTCTGGAACAACGCTCGGATGCAGTTGCTGGGCCAGGGTCCCAGCAGTGAGGTCCCGCAGCAAACGGGGGTGCACAATGAGGGGGTTTACCTTATTTTGAGAGTCCCTATAGTAAGGCTCCTACTACTATTCAGGATATTAGATTAGGGCACCCCCAGGAATCCCTTGGTTTCCGAGAAGCTTAATTCCTGTCCTCCCACTTCGTTATAAATTCCCAGAGCACTTGCAGGTTCATTGGTACTTATAAGTGGGATTATGAGTCTTTTAATATGGCTTTAGCTAACTGCCACAAACCTCCAAGCAGGGGTGGGATCCCAAACTGTTACATGGGCAGTCGTCAAAATTAAGGTCCCTTTTTGGGTACCCTAAATCATTGATGCCGTTTTGTAATAGGAGCCCAAAAAGGGACCATGATTTAAGCGCGAAAGTCGGAGACTCGATACCTTGTCAGTATATCCCATCAACGTCAAGACAACAGAGGTTGGAAACGAAACCCGGGTTTTGTCCAGCCCGAAGACATACATATAAACCAGTTCCTGGCTCGAAGTCCAGTCAGAATACCCTAAACCCTAAGCCATAAACCAAGAGTTCTAAACCCTACACCATAAACCCCTTCCCCTTGAAGCCCAATGAGACTGACTCCACAGCCCACATGCAGCGAAAACTTTCCCAGGCTTCAACAACAGCAGAGTCCAGGCGCCCAAGCTGCCACGATATGGGAGTTTCCAGAAAATAAGGGTACTTTGTTTTCATTGGGGGGGGGGGGGGGGGTTCCTTAGATAATTAGGATTCTACTATATACTGTACCATATTAGGGTCCACTACTTTCGGAAACCCCCATATGAGTAAGATGGGAGTCAGAATAATTGGCAGTTTCCCCTTCTTGTCCCTGTATAAGTAAATCGCGATATTTCCCAAAGCCCTATTCCAATCGCTGAGGCATTTATTTGGTTCTGACAATCATTCGTGTCATTATTGTTGTTGTTGCATACGTGCCAATAGCAGTTCTCTACATGCGACTGATACGTGGAAGCTGGCTGCACACTTAAGTCTTTTTGCAATCGGCGCAACCAGTGTTTGCTGCAGATACTGCACGAATTAGGTCCTGCGTGTCTAGACTCGGGCTTGGGTGTGTTGGGAGTTCGTCGACGGTCCGCAAGGTATCAATCACAAGTGTTGGATCCCATAGAGTGGGAGTGTTATATACAGTAGCCCTAGTACAAAGACCGTGCACTATAGGCAGGATTTTAGTTTACAAAGAACACCACAAGGGGACGACGAAGTCATGCCAGCTTGTGCTGGAGCGCCTACCCCAAGTACCCTTTATCTATCTATCTGAAAGTATATGTACATATATAAATATATTATAAAATATCATACAGATTCAGATAGATGTATAGATATATACACTTACATGCATGTGTACGTACATACATATGAACATATACACACATCTACAAAGACGTATGCATAGACATATAAACATATACATGTACATATACCTGTGTGTGTGCGTGTGTGTCTGTATATGCATACATATAAATCAGAACCCAGCATATATATATATATATATGTATATATATATATATATATATATATATATGTATATATGTGTGTGTATGTATGTATATATGTATATGTAGGTATGTAGGTATGTACGTGTGTGTGTGTGTGTGTATGTCTGTGTGTCTGTGTGTGTGTGTCTGTTACTATTACTGTACGTTTGAAGAAGCCCCAAACGGTTCATGCCTTTTGCCAGCTCGACCGGCTGTAGCCGCAAGACTGGCCCCACTCGAACCTGTGAACCCACAACCTCGGTTCGGAAACTTAAGCCTAAACCCCGATAGCCTAGGCCCCAAATCCTAAGCCCGGGTGCATTTGTTGGTGCGTGGAATCTTCCTTGTCTTAGAAGAATGGCCTTAGTATTCATTCCCCTAGTGCAGATGCGCTCGCGATTTTAAACCCTACAGAAACCTGCCAAAACGGCATACAAAAAGCTCGCACAGCTGCCTTTCAGTCTATTTGTTCAAGGGCCTTGCTCTGTTCTTCTGACGTTTCCAGGTCCCTGACGTTGTTTGAGTTGCTTGCGTGAGGGAGGCATTTGGGAGTTTCCGGAAATTAGGGTACCTTAGTTTGGGGTCCTTATAGTAAGGATCCTAATATTTAGGGTACTATATTAAGCTCCCGTATTTTCGGAAACTCCCATTTCTGTTGGCAAGCGCTGAAGTTTTGACTTCAGTATACGGGCTTCGGGCCGGGTTCAGGGTAGAAGCTCCATCGGCGAGCGGAAAACCCGTGTTCCAGATCCTCATGCAATCCCTGGATCTGACCACAGCCTACCACGGTGCACGCAATCCGAAATCCTGCTTCTTACAGGTGTGGCCTCTCTGTGAGATTTCTCCACACACGGATGCTTCAGAAAGCTGCAGAACACAAGCTCTTCGCCCTGACAGGTCTGGAATCATCCGCTGCCGAAGACCCAGCAGCTCGTTCAGGAGGAGATGTCCGGAGGCGCGAGAGCTTTTCGAGCCTTCTTCCTGCTGAAACGAAGCCTTGAAGTCCCAAGGCAGTAGGCTGCTGTGGCGATTGTGACCACAGCTTTAAGGAGCGCTGAAAGCGGTTCTGACGGTCATGACGGAGACCACTGTGATTACGGTGAGGAGGAGGATCATGACGATGATACTGTTGTTGTTGATGCTGATGGTGACAGTGATGAGGGTCATGATAATAATGCCAACGATGATGGTGATGTTCGCAAGCACTGTGGCGGTGTCGGTGACGGTGTCGGTCACGAGGCTGTGATTGCGACCATGATGACGGCAGTGATGGTGGTGAAGATGACAGTCGCCGAGACTGGTCTTATGTCCATGGGGGCGGGGCACCGGCATCCGCAACGATTGTCTCTCCACCGAAAGCACAAAGGCTTAGGATTGTTAGCCACGTCAGACGGGGACCTAAAGGGATTCTTGGTTTCCACCCGGTGGCCGGGTAGGGGGATGCAGCCCGTTATGACTTCGCAACCTCTTCCGGGAGGCGTGCATCTTGCCTTCGCAAAGCATGTCTCCCCAGTCCCCAGTTTTCGGATATGACGGCCTTGCTGCATAGGTGTTCTGAAAACTGGCCTTTACTTTGCCCAAGAGCGCCAGGAAACCAGGTGATCACTGACTTGTTCGTGGCCCTTACCAGCCGCTGCCGGCCAACTTGAGAGAAGGGAGGGCCAGGACGCATGTTATTTCGGCGGGTTGTGGGATCGAGGAGTTTGAGCTGCACGGGGTCATGGTTTTGAGCAGCCCCTGATTGGAATGTCCTGAACCCGGGGCACAATGCCCGAATACCCGAAAAGAACTGAGCAAAACCCTGAATCTCTGAACTGAATCCCCAAACTATAGGTGCTACGTGCAGATCCGTGGGTAGGGGAATAACTTCAATGCCTTTCGACATAAGGCGTAAGCCGACAGAGCCGTTTGCGGGTACAGGGACTGATGTTTAGGCTTCGGGCTTACAGTAAAATTTAGGGTTCCGGATATGGCAGATATGGCTTGAGGTTTGAGTTACTGGGATGAAGGCTTTTCCCGTGACATACGTGGGCTCGGAATTCAGGCTTCGCCTAGATCGCACCCTTTTGAGCTCCAAGCAGGCAAAGGTGCCCTTGTTGTGAAGGTGACACTGGTGAACATGGACAAAGGACCCGTCATCATCTTAGTGGCTGAGATAGTGAACCCTGAGTGTGTCTGGGGTACATAGCGGTCCCATCACCCTAAACCCCTACACCCCTAAACCCTAAATCCCCAAACTCCTTTATCCCTAAACCCTGAACCCCTACAACCCTACACCCCCAAACTCCGAACCCCTAAACCCTAAACCCTGAAATGACCTCGCTTGGCCCCTGGGAGCTCAGTAACTCGGTCATCGTCACCGAAGCCGTGACCATCCTCCAAAGGAAGACCGCTCAAGAGGCTGAAGGCAAAGGTTTGGACCTAGAGACCCCAGTTCGGTTTAGGGTTTAGGATTTAGGATTTAGGGTTTAGGGTTTAGGATTTAGGATGACTAACCATTGATATTGGAGGAGCTAAGGAGCCAGGGGTGATGATAATCCCTACTTACTCAGGAGCTAAGCCAAGGGAAGCCCAAAACCATTGGTTAGTTGAGCCTAGAAACCCCAGTTCGGTTTAGGGTTTTGGGACATACTGAGTAATTATACCTTAGCCGTAGATCTTGAGGGACCCAGAACCTGCTGTAAAGCATTGGGTTTACTGGGAAGAGATCCAAGCCCTGGTAACCTACCCCCACGACCGCCTCCCCCGCGTCCTGCCAGTTATCCTCGCGATGGGCTTCATCCCGGCCAGCTTCGTGGTGCAGCTTGGCAGTGCAAGAGCGGGTCAGGGCTGCCAGTGTTCGGCGTGCCGTTCTGTATGCTTGCTGTGGTGCTCTGCATGTTCCCCGGCCCAGATACGTACCAAAAGACACACATGCTATATAGCAGATTCCGTAGGAGACTTCCCTTTGCAATCTTTCGGGAAAGGGCAATTCCTGACTTGTGAAGCCGACATCCGAAACTTGAATTTGGATTATGGGGGCTTTTGCATGATTTCGCATATGAGGGGCCCTCTCAAGCTTAAGCCATGGAGAATACAGAGGTTTTCAGAGGTCTGATATATTCGGCTCGGGTGTTGCTAGCGTGAAGTCTGCGTTCGCTTGGTTGAAGGACAAACCCTGAGCCCTGAGGTTGAGTTGATTCAACGGAAGCAACTCAATCCATGGGCCCTTGGTGAGCAACTTCATGTACGAATGAGGCGCAACATGTATTCTGTGTGTGTATACATATATATATATATATATATATATATATATATATGAACCCCTGCCCTAAACTTTTGTTGGTAGCTCGCCTCTGTTTTCATGGCCAAAGGTATCTGGTCCACGAAAAAGCCTCCAATGGTAAGCCGGACACCCAGAAAGTCATTGGTGCTCGTGCGTTGCTGCTTAATTCAGGGCCTTAACGATTTGGAAGAGGGTTGCGGGCTATATCATAGTATAGCTATCATGGGAACTGTTCCGGTATCTTTCTTCTAAATTCCCAGGGCTTGTCAGGGATTATGGTATAGATTCGATTTAGGGCCCGGGCCATGTTGGAGTTCGGGCTTTCGGTTGAGGACTCTATGCAGTTCGGATGTTTAATTGTTCGAACACTTGGACGTGCAGTGGCCTTGCCAGCGTAAACTCGGGGGACCGCACCCCGAAGATACTACTGTTGAGTCCTAAACCCCTACCCCTTAACTCTTAAACCCTTAACCCTTACACCCTAAAACCCAAAACCCTAAACCCTTAATTAAACCATTACACCCAAAACCCTTAGCCCTTACACCCTACACCCTAAACCCTTAACAGCCAAAACCCTAAACCCTTAACCCTTACACCCTAAACCCAAAACCCTAAACCCTTGCACCCTAAACCCTTACACCCTAAACCCAAAACCCTACACCTAAAACCCTTAACCCTTACACGCTACACCCAAAACCAAATCCTTACACCCTAAACCCAAAGCCTCCGATATCCGAAGGTTCGCCAAAAATCCCACATAGCTGAACCTCGAACTGTGACTTACCTTTGGTTAGTAGGGAATGAAAGAATGGTAGTAGTAGTAGTAGTAGTAGTAGTAGTAGTAGTAGTAGTAGTAGTAGTAGTAGTAGTTATAAGTTTACCCCATTCCTCCATTCCCTACTAACCAAAGGTAAGGCGAACCCTGGACCATGAACACCCCGACCTGCGTCTCCCATGCGCCTCTGAGCCTGAGATAAGCCATGTACCGTAGGGTTTAGAGTTTAGGGGTTAGGGTTTAGGGGTTCGGGTTTGGGGTTTAGGGTTTAGGGTTTGGGGTTTAGGGTTTAGGGTTCAGGGTGTCTCCCCAGAGACTCCATTACCCCTTAGTTCGGGAATATTCCTTAAATCATATTAGGGATCCTACTATGATTTAACGTATATTCCCTAATTAGGGATTATTGGAGTTCCTGGGTCCCCGAATGCCAGGCATCAGCAGCTCCTCACCGGCCGGGCGCTCAAGAGCCCAAAGCACACTGAAAGTGCCAAACCCGCCAAAAAGATGGCGAAGAGCCTCCAGCAACAAAACCCTTCTGAAGCAGTGGAGTTCTTGTCTCGCCAACTGGCAGCATGCAGAGTCTTCAGCAGCCCCCCCCCCCCCCCCGCTCCCCCCCCCCCAAAAAAAAACTAAAGAACGCCAACATCTAAGTCTCAAAGATGGGCCCTTGACCCCAAAACTCTAAACCCTAGACCAGCAGACCCGAGATGACTAAAACTCTAAACCCTAGACCACCAGACCCGAGATGACTAAACTCCTAGGCCCGTGATCCCGAATCCTTATAACCCCTTCCTAGTAGTCGGGTGGGTAACCTTTAACCTTTTTTGGTACAGTCCCTATACAATCCCTATATAACCAAAAAGGTTCACCTTTAGTTCCCCATGATACCCCGACAAGTAGGCCTTATAGCCCTTCTAACCCTATATCTCCCATTAGAGGGGAGGGTTTAGGGTTTAGGGCCCTTCTAACCCCACGACTCAGGCATCTCACCGGTGATGTACTGGTTCTCGAACTACTGCGGCGGCCCTGGGAGCAACCCTGGCTCAGGGCTCCTCTTGTCCCCTTTAAAAATTCGGAATCTCCTTATTATTGTGGAGGTCCCTTAATAGGGTTATAGTAGGGACCATAATTCTGAACCCTTCTTCTGATTACTGTTGTCAAAATTAGGGTCCCTTTTCGGGTCCTTATTAAAATACGGCATTCCTTAATAGGGTTATAGTATAATGTACCCCAAAGCCCTAAACGAATTGTCAAGGCCCCCATATTACTTGCAGGTTCATGGGTGCCGTACCATTTTAAGGACCCAAAAAGGGGACCATAATTCTGAACCCTTCTTCTGATTACTATATGAAGGCCCCTTTATATTGGCGAGATTGAGGCTGGGATTTCGTGAACTACCTCGTGCCCCTGCTCGTCTGCGTCATCATCTTTGCCGCCTTCCAGGCCCCTTACCTTTGGTTAAAGGAGGGACCCTTAATGGGGACTCCTACCCTATAATGGGAGATATAATGGGTATATCATAGCTATATTTAAGGGTATATGCAAGAGACTTACCTTTGGTTAGTAGGGAATGGAAGAATGGTAGGAATAGTAGTTGCATTTGTACCCCATTCCTCCATTCCCTACTCACCCTGGCTCTTCCAGGGCCTCCCCAAAAACATCCTTTCATAGGGTTTAGGGTTTTGTGTTTAGGGTTTAGGGTTTAGTGTTAAAGTACCCTTTCATAGGGTTTAGGGGTTTAGAGGCTGTATAGGGGTTGGCGGGTTTAGGGATTTTGGGGTTTAGGGTTTAGTGGTGGGGTGTACCCAGAGACTCCAATATCCCTTAATTAAGGAATATTCCGTAAATTATAGAGGTAGGATCCCGAATATGATTTACGGAATATTCCTTCATTAAGGGATATTGGAAACTACCCTTTCAGAGGGTTTAGGGTTGAGGGTTTTGGGGTTCAGAGGTTTGGGGGTTTAGGGTTTTGGGGTTTAGGGGTTTAGGGTTTAGGAGTTTGGGGTTTAGGATTTTGGGGTTTGGGAAATACGGGTGTAGGGGTTTAGAGTTTAGGGGTTCAAGGGTTTGGGGTTTACGGCCCTTCTGGTCCTCAATCGTGGGTATTTAAGATAGATGAGAGGGTAGTTCGGGGGGATCTCGGTTGTGTCTCTCTGGCTTTGCGGCACTTTCGGAGTCTCGGAAGATCCGCATTCCAAATTTGAAGCCCGACAGTTCACGAATCCCCCAAAAGTTCCCAAAGCTCGAACCCCAGACCACAGCGCGATCCGGAGGGCAGAGCAGCTGCAGTGCTGGGCAGTGTCTTTCTGTGTCTACATGGGTGGTTGTGAAAATTAGGGCCCCCTGTTTGGGTCCCTATTATAATACGGCACCTGTTGTTTAGGATACCTAAAAAAGGGACCCTAATTTTGACAACCACCCACATGAAGCAGTCCTGTACTACCCATGTAGAGGGACGACTGCAGGAGAGTGAGGAAGCTCGGGAATGAGCTTTGAGTGCGGAGGTTTCGAAAACTCTGCGGGCAGGAAGTTCTGACGGTTTAGGGTTTAGGGTTGAGGCACAGTTCTGACAACTTTCCTGGACGTTCGAGGACCCTCAGAGCAAGACCCTAAAACCCTCAGTCGTGCAGCTCAGGCAATGGCGTACTCTGGGGCAAACCTTCCGGCGATTGTGGTCCTGCTGCTCTTCTACGGCTTGTGCCCGAAGCCACAGCTTTGGAAACAACGGTTTCGGGTAGCAGTGTCTTCGGGAAAGTGTTCTTCAAGCGACCCTCTTGGTGCATTCCTGAGGTTAGTGTTGTGGCTGCTTTAGGGAAGCTATGCGCGAATTGCGATCCCTCGTTCTACAACTTTGGAGATTAGAAACACGACGGTTAGGTTGATGCCAACAGCCTACCAGCGGCAAAGAAGGAAGACTTCTGTGAAGTAATGGTGGGGCCTTCACAAATTGGAGTGGGGTTCTTTCACGGCTCCTTTCAGGCATACTGTAAGGGTACTATAAGGATTCTACGATGCAGGAGCCTTAATAACAAAAGAGGGTTCTTGGGTGAGGGGTATGGTGTAGCAAAAGTATTAACAATCAGGAATCCTAAAAGAAACGATGCGCTCTTGTAGATTGCGACTTTAGATTTGATCTTCTGAGCTTTCGGTGAGTTTCGATGCTTGGGCTTCCAGTCCTCTGCCCAAGTGCCCTGACTCTGGGTCACAGCAGAGGCCATATCCTAAACCCAGACCCTCGAAGGATCTAGAAAGTAGATCCCCTAATTTGGGGCCCTATACTACCCAGGGCACTTTATAGGAGCCCCCCCATTAAGGGATCTACTTTTTGGGAACCCTAAGCTCAGCCCTGAGGCCCTAACCTGCCTTTGGTTCGTAGGGAATGGATAAGGGTTCCTTTCCTTGGGTTAGTATAAGGGATCTATATGGGTACTATAATTTAGGGGCCTTAGTAATCCTATAGCTTACCTTTGGCTAGTAGGGAATGGAGGAATGGGGTACAATTATAACTGCTAGTATTACCATTCTTCCATTCCCTACTAACCAAAGGTAAGCTAATGGCAACGCAGGCTCAGTCGAGCCGGTGCCCACGTCGTTCAATATGAAGTTCAACCAAGGTCTGTAAAAGAGGGGCTTCAATGATTACCTATAGATTGTTGGGGGTTCCTTATTGTGATTAAAGTATGATGGACCGCAAACCCCTCCTCTAATTAATAAGGCCCCTATATTACTGCTGGGTGCGGTGCTTGGGCAGTGAAACTCTGGCAGATCGACCACAGACCTGCATGGGCGTCTATAGGGTTCAGGCTTTCAAGTTCGGCCTGTATTGGGTGTCGGTCTCCGGTACAAATTTAGGTAGTTCATAGCACGCTCAAAGTTTCGAGCATGCATCTCCTTCGTTTCTTATGTTCCCACTCTTCTGGGCCTGTCTCACAGCTCTTGGGATATGTACCCCCAGAACGCAAGCTTCAACCCACGGCGGATCCCGAAGCAAACGCTACAGACCCCAAAGCCTGGAACCGACTCTTGAACGACCAACTTTCTCATGCTTGTCTACCGCGCGCCGCTCAGCCTCAGATCAGACTGCGAAATCCATCGGGTCCCCATTTTGGGGTTTAGGATTTAGTTTAGGGTTATAGTAAGGATCCTACTATTTAGGGTGCCTTATTTTGGGGGTTTAGAGTTTACCTTGTTGGCCATGGGTCGCCTGCTCTGGCATCTGCTCTTCCCTGCGGTGACGGCTGTGCGGTCTTCCGTCGACAAGACGACGATGGGCACCTGCTGCTGCTTCCTACCCCACACCGGCGAGTTCAGAGAATTTGGACACTAGGTTCCCAGTAGCACCCATTTGCCTTTGTTCTTACTTGAAGATGAGTGAAAGGCCGCTCTTATTAAGAAGTAATAATAACAATAATAATAGTAAGATTTCCCTTAAACCACCTAAAACACCAAAAACCGCGAACCAAGGATATGACAAAACAGATCCTTACTGGCACTTCGAGGGTCTCCATCAGGAACGCTGCCCTGCGCAGCCTGACACTTCAAAGAAGGCCCTCTCGCCGCGCGGGTGCCGAGGTCGTAACCTACGTCGTCTCCATGACCCCGACATCAAAGGCCATGCCCTAGGCGACTTGCCAATCCCCTGCAAAGGGGAGAAGGTGCCCCATCCGGACGACATGTATTGTGAGAACTACCTGGTCTTCTCATGCGGCAGCCTCACGATCAACATCCCAGAGGAGTGGAAGAATTGCTACCGAAACACCACCGGTCTCGGTCACAACAAGATCGATCCTTCCTGCCCGCAGTGCAGACAGAGATTTCCAGATTTGTACAAAGACGGATGTGCCAGGTGAATTTCGTCCTTACTTTGCTTCTGTTCCTGATTTTTCTTTGTGCTTCAGGCTTGTCGGAGACTGACAACTGACGATACGGCCTCTCAACGCTGGAAATGGAGCAAAATACAGAGCTAGTGCTGCGCCTAGTCCTCCAGCAAGTTGTTGTAAGAATCGATTCTTCACACGGACATCCTAAACCCTAAACCCATGAACTCGGAGAGCACCAAAATCGGGATTAAGCCCGAGGCCACAGACTCTGATACCCGGCAGCAGCCCGCCCACTTGGAGGTTCATGGTCAGTTATAAGTAGGGTTGTAAGTAGGATAACTATACTTACAACCCATATTAAGGGACTTATAACCCCACCTGTAACTACCGAACCTCCAAGCAGGGATGCCAAAGCGCGAGATCTTAAAGCTTTCCAGCTTCGCGGCTGATCGAAGATATGAGCGGAGAATTGACAATACCATTCCTTGTGGTTCCTTGTCGTACTTCTAGTGTCATGCTCCCCAAAACCCTGTTCGAAACCATAAAAATAAACCCCAAGTTCTAAACATTAAACGCCCCTACGCTATGCTCGAAAGGCATGACGCCGCTCATGTACTGTGCTGAGCCTCTGCGGCTGGGTGGCATTTGACGTGGGGGCTTCCCTTGAATGGGCATAATACAGGAGCCTTAATTGGAATAGGGTGTTGGGCGCTCCTTATTATAATTATAGTATCATATACCCCGAAACCCTGTTCTGAATATTGAGGCCCCTATACTAATGCATCTCTGCTGAGACGGTGCTCCGTAAATCAACCATTTTGGCAACACAAGTTTATATGTGTGCTCCCTGGTAATGGTATTGGCTTTTCCAGTCGCTGTGTTCGCTGTATCCACGAGTAATATTAGAATAGGATTTCGGGTGTATTTTTGTTCTAAGTCTAATAGGAGCCCCCCAAAAAGTGTTGGTAATGATTAAGGCCCCATATACTAAACCCCCATAATCCCTTTGAAAGAATTCCTTATAGACCCCTTTGAAAGGAACCCTTCTGCTAAATATTTCGGCCCCACTATATTATCTAAGATCTTTGCCAGAGGCTCCAGAGAGGCTGCCTGCGGTTTTGGGAGGTTGTTTTGCGTGGGGATTCTATAAAGGATTTGGGGTTTAGGGGGTGTTCGAAAAGTAGGGGTACCTTAGGGTTCCTTTTAGTGGTTACTATAAGGGCCCCTTTAAAGGGCTCTATAAGGGTTTGGAGTTCCGAACATTCGGGGTAGCTTATTTTGGGGCCCTTATAATAAGGATCCTATTATTTAGGGTACTATATTAGGGTCGCCTATTTTGGGAAACTCCCACATGGCGGTCCCGTTCAAGGGTCCCGTAGAGCAAGAATCCTGTGATGTAGGCGTCTAAATCCCCTGCTTCTGAAAATCTTACTTCTTTGCCGATGGCGATTCCCTGCCACCGTAGCACCCATCGAACCCAAGAAAGAGCTTCGTAGCACGATGTTGCAAATTCGCAAGGCATCAGCTACAGTAACAAGTCAACCCCTTTTCTTGAAGGCCCCAATATTTCGATCCTGATTATAATACCTGCAAAGGTCGTTCTCGGGTCGAGGCTTTATCAGGGTTCCTTTAAGGGCCCTAAGCTCGGGGCCGTAATATTTTTTGCATAGGGGTTTGGGGTATACGGTATAGTTTATATATAAGACGAACCCCGAGGAATAATGTTGGTTATGATTTAGGCTTCTATACTATTTACCTTTGGTTAGTAGGGAATGGAAGAATGGTAGTACTAGTAGTTATACTTATATCCTATTCCTCCATTCCCTACAAACCAAAGGTAGGACTTGGGTACGGCCCCCACTCAGTAACAGTTGGATAATATTCATAATATAGATATATAAGGCCCTTAATTGTAGCCCGTTCATAGAGTGTTACTGTATGGGGGCCGTACCCAGGGTAGGATATACATCGGCCTTACTGTAGTCCCTATATAGGTACTTTGGGGCTCATGTATCTCTATATGACTATATGGGTACATGGACCCTCCCTAAACCCTAAACCCTAAACCCTAAACCCTAAACCCTGAACCCTAAACCCTTAGGGCTGTGACGGTTGCCGGTGCTTCGGCACTTTCAGTCCCACGAGAGTTCAGGGCTGCGGCTTCCGACTCCTTGCCCTTCCAAAGAAGCGTGGACAGCCCAGAGAGCCCAAGACCCCTTAATTAAGGAATATAGCAATCTTAAACCATTATATTAATACCCCTTAAGTAAGGAATTTATAGCTCAAATCATAGTATGAATCCCCTTACAATTTAAGGTATATTCCTGAATTCAGGAGTATTGGGGTCTCTGGGAGTTGGTAATACTGTTCCACCGGGTTCCTCCTTTAGTAGGTTAGGATTCAGATACCCCCCAAAAGCTTAGCAGCTTGTTCTAATTGGCGAGTGATGTTGTCTTGAGGAGACTGGCGGCAACCGCTGCTAGCCTTTTCATTGTGAGCTTGGGTGCCCGGGGCTGTGATCCAGATTGGTCCCCGATAATGCTAGTGATATTAGCCCTACTGATAATGAGAATCATACTAAACATCCATTGTACTAAGAATCATGACACTAGGCTAGTATCTACAATGGTAATACTCGCGGTAGCCTCAATACTGTTAGGTTTGTTCATAGTGCAACTAGTGGATAACGCCAGTCCGAATTGCTTCGATGGATCTAAGGTTCGCAGTGCCGTCGACTGCCTATGTGACCTTGATCTGCGCCCAGATCCCAGAAAGGATTGATGGGACGGGTTTCCCAGACCCCCGGGAGGATGCCAAAAGTAGATCCCTCAATGGGGGTTCCTACAAAGTACCCTTAGTAGTATAGGGCCCCAAATTAGGGTATCTACTTTCGAGATCCTTCAAAGGGGGTCTGGTTTAGGGTGAAGGGTAGAGAAACGTTGGACTTTCCGTTCCGCTGCGCTTCAAGGGGTATGTGCAAGTGCCCTAAGTGTAGCTCAGTTGCTAACTCCCGTGATCCTTGAAGAAGTCTTGAATAGACCAGCAGAAAGAAGTCTTGTCAAGACACTCGTTGCTTCGAAGTGTCGCAATTAAGCTCAACACGGGCTTCTTCGCAAAAAGCTCGACGAAACCCTTAACCCTAAACCCGAACTAAACCCGAAACCCTAAGCCCTTCAAAAAAAACGAACCTGCGCAGCGCCCCTAAACCCAAAACCCAGAGCCCTCCCAGTTAGCTCCGAAACCCTAAACCCTTTAAAAATAGCCGAGCTTGCGCAGCGTCCCTAAATCCAAAACCCAAAGCCCTCCCAAGTTGAATATCTTCACTGACCCGAAACCCTAAACCCTAAACATATTGGGGAATTTTTGTTCTCAATATGTTTAGTGTTTGTGTAGCGCCCCAGTTGAACATCTTCACCGGCACGATTTCGACGCTGGCGATCCTCACTCTGGAGCCCGGCACCCGGAAGCCCCGGAGTCGTCAGACGTCGCAGGCTTTTTGCATTCGTGAAGATGTGCTGTTATTCCTGGTGTTGATGTTGGTAATGACGATAATGATGATGATACTGATGATGATGATGATGGTGATGATGATGATGGTGATGATGATGAGGTTCCGAAACTAGGGGACCCTAAAATTGTACCCGAAGTAGTAGGATCCCTTATTATAAGGACCCTACAATAAGGTACCCCGTAATTGTAGGAAACTCCCATGTGTGCATGACCATGACCATGACAGTCCTGTCGGAGCTGCTCCATGTTGTGACCTCTTATACTCTTAGATAGCGTGGCCTTACATATTAGCTCTATCGAAAGTTTCAACTTATTGCGACCCGGTTGTCGAAGGAGAGAGTACTGGGTTGCTCCTGTAAGGGATCCGTAAGGGTTCCTCTAAGGGTATAGAGTATAGGGATTCAATTTAAGCTATCATAATAGGGATTTCTAGTAAATAACATGGCTTCCACTTATAATAGTAACTTAAAATAAGTCCCTTAACAATGAATCCCGTTACAAGAACCGAGTATCATTTCATCCGAAGGGTTCCCAGGCTTTGTGGGGCGGTGGGGCTTCGGGGCCATGGGAGTTGGTGCTTCGGGAGTTGAAAACGTTCGAGTTCCGTTTACTTGGAGGTTCATGGGTAGTTACAAGTGGATTATAAGTCCCTTAATGTGGAATATAACTATAGCTATCATACTTATAAGCCTACCTAACACCTCCAAGTAAGGGCTTTGATCGTGGAGTCGCTGCAGATGCTCCGAAGATGAAGCAATCGGGTTCAGGGGTTCAGGAGGGGTTAGGGGTTTAGGCGTTAGGGTTCAGGGTTTAGGGTTTAGGCGGTAGGGTTCAGGGTTTAGGGTTTAGACTTCTGGAATCTGTCTCAAATGTCCCTTAAACCGTAAACCCCTACACCCCCGAACCCCAGCCCTTAACCCCAAAGCCCCAAACCCTAAACCCTGAACCCCTTAACCCCAAGCCCCCGGCCTTAGACTAGTTGCTTTCTGTCCTCAGGGCCTTTGTGGAAGAGCTCCCTACGCTCATGCTCGGGGTCCCGAAGGGCTGGACGAGCGCTTCGGGTTTTGGCGGGCGAGGGCTTAAGACAACTAATATACTTTAACCCACCAGAACCTACTTTTGTGTAGGGTCCCTATAAATTCCATAATAGGATTTAGGATGGGGCTCTACTAGTGTTACCTAGTACTATTTTGGGGGTTCCTTATTCGAATTATTAAGACCCCAAAGTATGGCAGCTCGATTTCGTGATGTTTGAGGTTTACGGTGCAGCTCACGGCTTTTATACTGGAATTTCAATCCCGTGAGACCGGGCAACTATGGAAGCCGGAATGACTAGTAGCAATGCCCCTCAGTCCGCATATAGTATTACACAGAGCTTCGTAAGGTGTTTGGCCGGATTTCAGACGGGCGCAGGAATTGTTGGCGATACTACTCCCTTGTCGTCCTTGTATATTAGCCCTCAAAATCCAGCCATTTCGGGCTGTACGAGGCTGCAGCAGGAAGCTTTTTTTTTGAAACGGATCTGTACCGATCTGTAAAGGGGCTCTAGAATGTAGGGGCCTGAATAACTACCGGGTTCGCGTTCAGGAACTTGATTGAAGCTACTGTTACCATCTGTAACAGGCATCTATAGTAAATAATATGGTAACTTCAACTAGATTCCTTTGTCATAGTTGGGTAACCTTTTACATTTTTATGGGTACTTAAAGCCAATAAGGAATAAAAAATTTGAGTTTTGAATCCTATCCCAACCCATGAACTAAATTCCTTGACAAGAGCCCAGAAGACGCCCCGAGGAGCCCAAAGCCGAAGTCCGTTCAGCTCGCTAAGGGCTCAAGGAGATCGGCCCTGGTAGAGCAGAGGGTTTCGTATCTTGGGGGCTACGGAGGATTTAGGGTTTAGGGGTTTAGAGTTTAGGGTTTTTTGTGGTGCTACAGGGGCTTTAACTGGTTTTTAAGGGGACAGTGGTGTTGTTCTGTGTTTATTCGGGGCTTCGGACCCATGGCGCTCGTGAACCTCGAATGCTGGTTTCTGGAGGGTGTAGGGCTTTTGGGGATGTGGGGTTCCCCTTGGGTCTGGGATTTTCGGGATTTCAGCACCCTCAAGCCTCAACCCAGGCCCATCCTGGATTTTGGTCAAACGATCTTCCCATGGGCGCGGCACTTGGAAAGCTGTTCCTCGGGACTCGGGACATACGGCGGGTTCGCGCGGAGATGCGAAACGCCCGGCTTTACTAGGGTTAAGGGTTTGGGGTTTAGAAAAAGTCGGGGAGACACTGGGTTATGTGGCTATTTCTGATTTCCAAAGCCGTGGTCCTATATTCAACTTCGCTCTAGGGAACCCGACATGCTACAAGTGGTTTTGCTCTGCATCATCTGTCGTGCTATGTACAGGCTTAGTCACTTCAGTCCTAAACTCAATCACAGTGTAGTTCATGTTTCCGAGCGTCCCGAGTCGTGCATAGAAGAAGGCCGACCTTCTTATTCAAACTTCGCGAAGTCTAAAACCACCCGTATATGGCAATACAGGAAGGGTCGTGGCTAGCGAAGTTCGCACTTGACCAGCGAAGACTGTCATGAGTAGCTGGCAGGGAGCTCTGTTTGAAAATAAGCCCCCGGACTCGTAGCAACCTTGGGTTCCGGGCGGGGTCCTAGGTACACCCCTATAGTACCCTCGGAAAATGCCCAACAGCTGTCTCCTGTCGCTTGCCTTGCAACCTGTGGTTCCAGGTGGTTGGTTTGGAGATTGGGGCTTGAGATTTCCTCTGGAGGCCCAAGCATCTCGACCCCGAAGCCCTCAACCCCTGAGCCCTTAAACCTGAACCCCGTAAATCCTTAGCACTTCGAAACCCTCAGTACAACCCCCGCATGTGATAGTATCTTCCGCAGTCTAAAACTCATAATAGCTTACTGTCTCCAGAATAAGCCTTCCTTCAAAACGGGCATAAAAGTCTCGTCGGCACCCTGCAAAGACTCTACACTCCCCTAGACCCTAAACCCTTAAACCCTAAACCCTAAACCCTAAACCCTTAAACCCTAAACCCTAAACCCTAAACCCTAAACCCTAAAGTTACACACACCACGCACCATCTTTCAACAAATATCGAGAGCGAAGCCCAGACCTTGCCGAACTATTGCCTCGGCTCAGTGCTCAGCGGTAGGGGGGGGGGGGGGGGGGGGGGGGGGGGGGGGGGGGGGGGGGGGGGGCTTGTCCTTCTTGTGGTGATTGGGGTTAGGGTTTAGGGTAGGGTAATATAGGGGCCTAGATAGTTACCTATACTATTTTAAATTTTTGGGGTTTCCTTATTAATTATAATTATAGTATAATGAGCAGTGCTACTTATTTGGGTGGTTGGGTTGTCAAAATTAGGGTCCCTTCTTGGGTCCTTATGGTGATACGGCACCTTGTATTTAGGGTACCGAAAAAGGGGCCATAATTTTGACAACTACCCTTGTGGTGATTGGGTTTAGAGTTTAGGGTGGGGTGCCTTGTTCAGGGGTGGGTCCGTTCAATGCTGATGCTGGCAGTTAGAGTTACCCGGGAGTCACGATTTATGAGACTTCCATGTTATTAACACCTGCATGGTGGACATTTCTTAGAATGCACGCTCTCTACTACTGTAACTGAAGCTAGGTTCTTTTGACAAGAGCCCGAGGAATACGCCATTGCCAACAGAGCCAAACTCTCCCAAACCTTCGCCTTTAACAACCCAGACCCCCGGGAGGATCCAAAAAGTAGGTCCCTTGATGGGGGTTCCTATAAAGTACCCCTTACATAGTAGTATAGTATAGGGCCACAAATTAGGGGATCAACTTTCTAGATCCTCCCGGGGGTCTGGGAATCCAAAGGAGACCTAAACCCAAGCCCCTGCTCAGAATCAAGACTGTGCCAAACCGCACCCCACCCCCCGTCCCCACCCCCAAGTTTTCAAAAGCCCGTCAAAAAGTAATTGAAGACTCCACAGGACTCTGAGATACACGTGATTGCGACTTCTCTGATTCAGTGTCTTTCTCGCAGAAGTAGCGCACGCTTTTGGGTGCTTGAGGGACACCAGCCTGGATCTTAATTAGGGACTCCCCATGTCATCCTTAACAAGGACACCCTAAACCCCTAAACCCTAAACCCCTAAAGCCCTAAAGCCCTAAACCCCTATACCCTAAACCCTAAACCCCTCCAAAAACCCCAAGCAAAGCCCACATGGCGGACACGGCTAGAGTCTCAGAGGTCGTGCTTTGCTGGACATCGCCGTGAATCACTACGCCAACTTCGCCTACGAGGAGTTCGGGGCCCCTCGGCCTCCGATCCGATCCGGGTTCTCGATATGGGAGTTTCCGAAAACGGGGGTACCGTACTTGGGAGTCCTTATGATAGGGATCCTACTACTTAGGGTACTATATTAGGGTCCCCCATTTTCGGAAACTCCCATATGTTTGTTATGATTGCTATTCTGATTGAAAGATTTTAAGATATTGTTATTTGATAATAGCTTTGCTATGATTGGTATGTTTGTTTCTATTCTAACATGCAAAGTATTGTTGGTTGATGATATTTGCGGCCATGATTGGTATTCGTATTTCTATTCTAACATTTAAAGTACTTGTGCTATGTTTGGTAATGTGACGGTTATGATGTTCGTATTAGTAGTTCTAGTTTTTCGTACTTGTGCTGTAATTGTTACTGCTACTATTGCTATTGTTATTGTTTGTAGTATTGCTTTTGTCGCTGCTAGTGTTCTTACTATTGAATATCATCCTTGTTGTTACCTAGAGGCTCCATAGTAGTTCCTTTTTGGGGTTCAGATTTAGAATCCTAACTAAAAGGTAATCCCCAAAAGGAACTACTATGGAGCCTATGGGTATTGTCACTGCTACTATCCTATGGTTCTCGAGGCTACGGCTTTGGGGGTATTACAGGTTTTAATACTTCCTTGGAATTTCAGGTGCAAGGGTTTAGGGTTCAGGGGATTTAGGAATTGTTACGAGGGTTGAGGTTTTAGGGTTCAGGGGGTTTAGGGGTTGCTGCTAGGAAACATCCCTGTGGGTTTCAGGGGTTTCAGAGATGTGCTTCGAGTCTCTGGGGTCCGGATTCTAGAATGATCTGCATCAGGGTGTGATTAAGAGGGTTATATTGAATCAGAGGAACAGTAGATAAGAACAGATATATGATTCAATTTTTACATATAAGTGACTATATGTAATATTGTATACAGGTTAGAAAGTAGGCTTCCTACAAGGCTTGATGCTTAGGCTCACTATTATAAGGCTTGCTTTAATATCTTACTGCAAGGGTTACTTCAGGTGGTTCTGTACAGACTCGGTCGTTTGATGAACTCTTCCTTCGAGATGAGGCGATGGACGAACGCTCTTTTAAGGTCATGAGGCCTTTTCTGAGGATTCCAGCTTCAATATAGGGGTCGGAATCATCAGCAATACTAGTTGCTAGTCCTTCCAGTCGCTTGATACCCCAGAATCCTATTCTTACATTTTTCGGCTCCTAGTCAGCACATCTCTAACTCCCAACTCTGTTTTCATCCGGAGCAACTCACGGGAGGCGGACGAGATGTCTTCAGATCCGTTCCGAAGGGTTTAGCCCAGTCTCAGTGGTAACTACAACCAGCGGCGGACATGGACGTATTGTACATGACTAACCAACAGAACTAGCCCAACAACACCTGCAGCAGTAGTGATGGTACTGGTAAGAATGACGATCATAATTATGAGAATCGGTATACTGATACTGATGGTAATAGCAAACGTGGCAAAGAATAATCGTAGCACTGATGATACGGATAATGAAAGTAGTAATAACAGCACAAGTAAAGTAATAACAATAGTTATAACCATACTATTTCACGATAATGATACTAAGCCTAAACCATCCATGGCCGCAAGCTTAAACCGTTGGAACCTCGAGCTGAGCCAGTGGGCGAGTTTTCTTCCCGAAGATCTCAACTCGACCCGTAGCCAAAGCCATCAAATGGGTGGTTGTCAATATTAGGGTCCCTTTTTGGGTGCCCTAAATATATAGGTGTCGTATTGCAATGAGGACCAAAAAGGAACTCTAACATTAACAACCACCCAAATGTCGGTCCCCTGTGCAACCCTTGCGAAGTCACGTTGTTGTTATTATCATTGCTGTTGCTGTTCGTTTTATCATTGTAATCGTCGTTACGATTGCGATTGTTATTGGTATTGGTATTATTGGCAGTGGTATTATTGGTATTGGTATTATTGGCAGTGGTAATATCATTATGAACAGGCCCTCCGCTGTGCCTGAGGTCTGCGTCCACGAACAAGGGGCGGTCTGCTTCAAAGACCCGCTCAGATGCTTCGCTGCACTTACCACGAGAGGGAACTGCATGCTTCGTCATACTTAAAGGATCATGGGACTTAGTAACTGGGGTTCTAATTAGGGTAACTATACTTATAAGCCCAATTAAGGTACTTATAACCTTACTAAGTCCCATGATCCTCCAAGTACTGTTCCTTCGGGTGGTCTAGGGGTTCCTTTAAGGGATCCTCTAAGGGGTGTACATTGTCATAAAAGGATTCTTTTTCCGCGGCCCCTTAGTATATGTGTACGACGAGCCACCAGAACAAACCAAGGCCTAAACACATCCCATAAACGCCTATGCAAATTCGTGCGGCCCGCAATGTTGCAGAGAAGAAGACGTCATGGGTACGTGGCTCTCACTCTCTCTCTCTCTCTCTCTCTCTCTCTCGTTATCTCTCCTAGTAGTCGAGTAGGTAACCTTTTACCTTTTTTGGGGTAGTATAGTCCCTATATAATGCCTATATAACCAAAAAGGTTAACCTTTAATTCCCAATGATACCCGACAAGTAGGCTCTTTTGCAAGAAAACTTCAGGCCCCAAGCGATGGATCTCCAAACCCATCCGCGAGACTCCCGCCAGAGCCATGGTTAGAGCCGTACTAACCCCTAAGGGTTCCTTTTGTGTGAGCATGCTGAACAGTAAAATAGGGGCCTTGATAATTAGAATTGGTACCGAGGAGTTCCTGCAACTTATTACAATTATAGTATAATAGAACCCCCCAGCCCTAATCATCCCCTGTATTACGGTGCGTGCACGCTTAATCCCTCAACCAGAGTGCCGCTCATTTGTAAGCCGTTGGCAAGGCGATGGAAGGTGAAGGGTCCCGGGTCCCGCAGGCATTCCGGTGGTGGAAGGGGACCCAGCGCTTCAAGATGGTGTTGGGGGCTCGCCAGCGGTGGAGGACTCAGGTGTGCAGGGGGATGTCGGGTGGATCAGGCGGTGAAGGAACCTCGATACGGCGATGATGCTGCCGTGGAGTCATCAGGTGCGGTGCACGGAAGCCCAGGAAGTCATGAGAGGGCCACTGTTCCGGTGTTGGAGCAGTCGGCTCTCCCTGTGACAGGCAGCGACCGGTGCCGATGACTCTAGATGACGGCATGGGACAAACTCTGGGTTCTTGTTAAGGAAGTTACTGTAAGATACCATAATAAGGAAACCATATTATTTTTTAAAGATCCCTATTGTATGGTGACTTAAAGTCAAATCTTGTAACAAGAACCCAGACCTGTGTGTGGTGTCTGCGCCGACCGGCTGGCACAGGGCAGTTCGTTGCAGTGCACGGAGGGATGCAACGACAGCATCTGCTCAATCTGCGCTGCTGGGGCTTTCGTGGGATCCACTGTAAGAGCCTTCATCCTTCATAGACAACCTATGCTACTGTAGCGGTTCCTATTTCAATAGTTATGAAAGCTCCTACATTACATGCTACACTGGGGTTTAGGGTTTAGGAGCCCTACACCCTGCAGGGTCTAGGGTGTAGACCCTATCGGGTTTAGGAATTAGGGTTCAGGGCTTAGGGGCTTCAAGCCTTCTGAAGGCATCGGGCTCAGGAAGTCCAGATGCACTAAGCTTCGGAGTTCAGAGTTAAGGAACCCTCAATTCGGATCTAGGACCTACTATAGTTAACCTATGCTATTTTGGGGATTCCTTATTATGATTGTAGTATAATGGCCCCCCATAACCCTATTCTGATTATTAGGGTTCAGGGCTTAGGAACGATTAGGAGCCCTCAATTTTGCAGTTTGGGATTTTGGACGGACGCCTGGGATTCGAAGCTGACGGGTTCGGAGGTCTGGGAGCTTCGGCGTCTAGGGGCCTAAACAATTGCCAATATGGGGTCTAGGGTGTCATTTTAAAGGGGTCTATAGGGATTAGTAGGGGTATTCTGGGGGTTTACTACAGGGACCTAAATAATTACCTATACTCTTTTGGTGGGTTCCTTATTAGCTTTATGGCAGAATGGGCCCCAAAACCCCAATTCTAGTTTCCCCTATATTAGGCTTTTAGAGTTAAGGGCTTAACCTTGTGGGTCTAGGGTTTGAGCAGTCCTGAGTTAGGGTTTTGGGTTCACTGGGTCGCAAAATATGAGGCTGATAACACTGATAACGGCTAAACCTGAGGCGATCATGCTCTAATGTCGCGCCGCTTGTTGCCCATCGAGTTTGAAGTCGTCCACTTAAGTTAAGCTCCTGGACAGGTACCCAGATTTCTCCACAACAACACCCAAACTCTGACGATACATAAAGCCCATGACTGTACTTCAGGATCTTCAGTCAAGTGTCTTCAGTGGTTGTGTGACACTTCATATAACTTTCAGGGTATCTTTTTCAGAAAGCCCATTAAACCCTTCCTCAGACCGCCTTAGAACAACCCTGGCCTCACCCGAAAAGGCTGGGACGTCTCCGGGCATTACATCTTCAACTTGGTGCTCATGGCCGGGATCCCTGAGCAACAAGAGCAAAAGAATCATAGGACGCCAAAAGGGGTTTTAGCCTATGGGGGGTAACGTAGGGATTAGGGTTCCCATAATAGGGTTCATATTAAGGAATCCCTACCTCAGGAATCTTAAACCCCCCTTTTGGCCTCCCATCAAAGAAGCCCGAGCCGAACTTCGGCGTTTCGGGCCCACACCTACCGTAAACTTTGAAACCACGATTGACGGGGGGGGCGGGAGCCAAATGGCGCGGTGTGGCATTTGGGTATTCAGCGATTCGCGCAGAAGATTCACGGCAAAGTAGGGGGTTTTCAACGCCTCTCAGATTGGAAACATGCGACGGTCTGAGGTTCAGGGTTAACGGATTAGGATTTGGGCAATTCAAACTCGCCACTGCTGCTACGTACAGTACCGTGATGAACATGGGTTGTTGGGGCGAGTGTCGCGTGATTCGTCCTTGGTTCCTGGGAGCACTTCTTGCCAGTTGTTGTTACATATAGTGGAGTGTCATTGTGTGTTACTGCCATCGGTTGCTACTCAGTATCGAGAGCAACCCGCGAGCGAGCGACCTGCGCTGATCCTGAGAGTCAACAGCCAGTGCTCACTTTGCAGCATCTCGTCGCGTGACCAAGACGATGGGACCTTCGTTTGTTGAAATCTGGAGTTCGACTTCCTCAACCCTAAACCCTAAACCCGTAGCATATCCGAATCTAGGATCAGGTTGAGTTTCGGCTTCTTTGGGAATTGAGGGCCTGGGAGTCGGGCACACCAAGGCCCCAGCGTGGTTCTTCCTGCGAGGGCCTCAGCGTCAAAGGGTAAGAACTCGAGTTCTGTCCGGAAAGCCTGCCTTAAGGATTTCCTGTATTCGTCTGGGAGGTTCCTCATTATTTTTATAGTATAACTTTGGGGGTTCTCATTCTAATTATAGCATTATTTTGGGGGTTCCGTACTATAATTTAGATATGATATACCCGAAAACCCATCTTTAGTGGGACCCCGGGACGGTTGGGGTCGGGCAGTTGTAATTGACAAGCTGGTAGGGGTTGGGATTCTACTTCAAAGTTGGGAGGAAGCAGGCATTGTCCAGCACCATTTGTAGAACCTGCGTGAGAACGATGTATCTTGGCAGACGAAAGTAGGCCCGGATCCCATAAGCTCCAAAATTCCTTCCTCAAGCCACCAACCCGCACGGATGGTGCCGATAGACCGGAAACCCTTCAGGGAACCACATACAGTCAGCAAGCCATTCGGAACGTGTGCAAAGCCGGGTCCTACCCCACCACGCCTCATTCAGCCTTATGAACCCTGGTGAATACTATGGGGGCCGAACTAATTACCAATAATGCTATTTTGGCGGGGTTCCTTATTGTAGGTATAGTATGAAGGCCCCAAAACCCTATTCTAGTCATACTAAGGCCCCTATATTACCGAAGCCATGATGCCGCTTTGCCAGGCGCCTCCTCATCGAGTGGGGCTGCTTCCTGCGGGGTTTCAAAGCCAGGCGCGGGGTTTGAGGCTTGGGTGCCTTTTCATAATTGGGGGTTCCTCATTATGATTATTGTATAATAGACCTCCAAACCCTATTCTTGTTAAGACCCCTACATGAGAGGGGGGGCTGGAGCAGGTCAAAGCTCCCAATCATAGCGTCGCTAGGGTATGTTCCTTCGCTGAAAGATCACAGAGTCTGATTGCTGCCGTAAAGCCTCGTAAAGCTCAAATTGCCGGCTCTCTCCCTTCGGAGCGACAGCTTCGAGAATCTGATTAAATCCTAGCGCCCCAGACCTTACACTTAAAACTTGAGGCAAAGAGTCATTGCAATAATGACAAGAACATCTTCACGTCTCCAACAGAAGAGAGCGCCGGCCAAAAAAAACTGCATTTGGGCTGAAGGCTTTTACCTCAAGCCCTCAGATGCCATAATCCCTAAGCCCTAAACACTTGCAAGCCGTGTAAAGTGGCTTTAGACCCGGATCCCCCTCAACCCGAAAGCCCCTCAACCCCCCGGCCCTACACCCTAAGCACCTGCAAGCCGTTTAGAAGTTTGAAGTGGCCACAGATCCTATTCCCCCTAGTCCCCCTAGACCCGAAACCCTTGTCACCCTCAACCCTGAACCCTAAACCCCTAGACCCTAAACCCTAAATCCCCTACCACCAGAGAACCCTGCACCCGAGGCGACTGGCTCGAATTCTGCAAAGCGCGGCGCGGCCTGGAGAAGAAGGGCCCCAGGTGGAGGATGAGGCGCTAAGAAGAAGCGGCGCCTCAATTCATTTAGGACTCCGAGAAGAAGGGGTGCCTCTAAAAGGCACCCCTTAAGGGTTCCTTAAAGGGATCTAGAAGGGTTCTATAAAGGATTTGGGGTTTAGGGAGCTGCCGAAAATAACGATCCTACTATCTAAAGTGCCATATTAGGGGCCCCTATTTTCGGAAACTCCCACTTAGGACTCCTCATAACGGCGATCCTACCACTGTGGATCTATATTCGGGTCCCTGAAACCTCCGAGCGCCATCGAGTTCAGAGAGTCGCCCACCGATGGTTTGTCTTCTGCTTAGTAGCTGAGTGGATACACTTTACACTTTGTGGGATAATATTACCCACTATAAGACTTTACCCACTATAAAACTGAAAGTGTACACTTTTCGGGGCTTATGAACTCAGCAACTAAGTCTGTGCAAGGAGACAGGGCTCTTTATTCTCAATGCAGGGCAAGTTTAGAGGTCTGGTACCAGCAATGGGAGCCAACATCTGCTCGGCCTGAACCGAAATCCTAAGCCCTGAAAACCTCCACCTAGAACGATGTTCAGTTGCTTCTGCAGGCTGTGGCTGCACAAGTGGTTGATACAGGAGCTCCAATCTTCAGTAGATCGTGTCCTTTTGAGGCTTTATCGTAAGTGTTTTAAAATGCACTTCGAAACCGTGTTGTGATCATGAAGGCGACTGTTCAGCAGTTGCTTACGAAGCTTTCGAGTGGTATTTAGGCGCCGTAAATGTGAGTCTAGCGATGGATCCCACTATCCGTGTTTAGGATGTGGGGTTCGGGCTGGAGGGAGAAGTCTCCTGCCCCTGAAATGAAGAGGCGGTTCGGACTCTAGGAACACAGACATTGCTTTTTGGTGCGACACTCTTGCATCGTGCCTAGTCTAGGCCACGGCCGCATGACATTTGTATCCAGCAGTATAGCTGAAAGCTGCACTCTTTGCTATTGGCATCTTGGTACCAAGCTTCACCCGCCCTACTAGAATCCAAATTCGTCAGAAACTGAGGTTCTTATACTAGTTGTACTATAAATTACCCTCCCCCCCACATTACACCCTCATAGTGACCCTTAATAGAAATCCCTTGGAATGGAGGCCTTTAAGGGAACCCTATTCCACTTATTAAGACCCCCAGACTAAATCCTTATAATATCCCTTATAGACCCGTGTAACGGAACCCTATTTTTCTTATGAAGACCCCAGACTAAATCCTGATCATAGCCCTTATAGACCCGTTTAAAGGAACCCTATTCTACTTATGAAGACCCCCATATTGCCCAAACTGTCGAACCCAGAGAGCCCGATACCCCTTAATTAAGGAATATACCTTAAATCAGAACACGAATCCCCTTACAATTTAAGGTGCATTCCTTAATTAAGGGGTATTGGGCTCTCTGGGAACGCCAGGCTGTTTTGGCTGAGCGCTCTCGAGTGCAATCCTCTGCACGCTCGGCCAAGGCAAGGCGAAGGGAAAGCTCTTCTGATATGGGAATTCCGAAAATAGAGGACCCTAATATTAAGGGCGCCTTCAAGCGATCTATAAGGTTCTATTAAGGGTTTAGGAGGGGGTTTCCGAAAATAGGGGACCCTAACATTAAGGGCTCCTTTAGGGGATCTATATAAGGGTTCTATTAAGGGTTGAGGGTTTAGGGGGGGGGGTTTCCGAAAAGAGGGGACCTTAATCTAATACCCTAAATAGTAGGATCCTTATTGTAAGGAGCCCAAAATAAGGCGCCCCCCAATCTTCGGAAACACCCATATAGGGGCCTAAAGAATTACCAATACTATTTTGGGGGTTCCTCGTTTGCATTATAGTATAATGTACCCCCCAAATCCCATTCTAATTATTACGGCCTCTATATTAGCAAGAATGTCCGCCTTCTTCCTGATGGCAGCCGCATCGCCGAATGCCAAAAAAGCTCAACCCCACACTGCCAGAGCTCGAAACCGAGAACCCCTCTGTTGCTGTGTGGCGTCGTTCCTTTCCTTACGTTTACGGTGAAAGGAACGTCGAAGGTGACTGATGCTTGCTTCTCAGAAGAATGGAAGAGTTGCGGGCCGTAACAATTAGAAGAGGGTTTGGGGTTGTACTACTGTATTCTTGCAAGAGGACCCAACAGGAGCCGCATTTCTTAGACAGACTTGGGAAAAGCTCTTCTCAACTGGCTGGAGGCGGGGCTTGGGGACAGCTTGGTCATCGACAACTTGGAGAAGTGTTCCGCGGATGAGCTTAAGGTCAGGTTCCGAAGGTAGTGCTGCACTCTTAAGTCGCCTCTACTCTAAAATTGAGAATCAAGTACCCCTTCGCAAGCCGAACCCTAAGCGACGAACGTCCTTCACAGCAACCCGCTCGAAGCTGCACGGCCCCTGTGATCTCGTGAACCGATGCCCAACTTAGAGGATCATGAGGGCGTTGCAAGTAGGGTTCTAATTTGAATCACAACACGTAGACTGAATTACGACCGTAACAAAGGCCAAAAAACCCTTCTGACTATGTCCCCTGCTCCTTAAAGTATGCCCAACGCGAACTCGGACGCTGGAGACCGGGAGCACAAAGCCCTACGCCTATGTTTAAACCGTGCCTAACAACCCTGTTCTAGATATGAAGGCCCCTACATCCGTGGCGTCAGACTTCGGAATTAGGCTTTGAGAGCTTCCCAGAGAGCCCAATACCCCTGTAACCGTTAAAAAGATTAATGGGCTTCCTATATAATGAAAAGCATATTCCTTAGCTAAGGGGTATTGGGCTGTCCGGGTTCGTGGTGAGACAAGACATTCATGGACTCTTGACCCGTCCTGCCTGGTCAAGTGGGACAAGTGCTGAGGCCTGCACCAAACAAGTCTTGATCCCTTGCCCAAAATCTCAGACCCTAAGCCCGAAATCGCACATAAATCGTAGTTCAACGACCCCTCGTCCTCGAGTCTGCTTTTTTTGTGCGCAGCCTTCCGTCCTCAGTCGATTCTCAACTTGTGCGTGCTCCTGAGGAATCATGTTCCATGTTTGTTACAATATCAGCTCTGGGTGTTCCTTTGAGGGTTTTGGAGTCTGGGATTCTCAAGAGGCTAGTGGCTATTGCAGCACCTTTTGCCGTTGAGCTCAGTGCTACCCTAAGGTTCAGGGTCTATGTAATCACTCATATAGTACATACACTGGCCTTCATGTAGTCCCTACTCAGGTACTTTGAGGCCCAAGTATACGCTATATGGGTGGTTGTCAAAATTATGGTCCCTTTTTGGGGACGCTAAATATTAGGTTTAGGTGCCGTATTATAATAAGGACCCAAAAAGGGACCCTAATACTGACAACCGCCCATATGAGTACATGGGCGCTTAGTGCTATATGTGTGGAACCCTGAAGCGCTGCCTCAGCCCAGGCTTCGCGCGCACCTCGTGCCTGCGGAACGCAGGTGGCAGACTTTCGCCATCTTAGGGTGGAGGATTCGGGGATGTTCGGCTCCGGGGTGCAACTTTGCGAATGCAAGTTTCATGGCTGTAAGAACAGACAGTCAGAGACAATGGTACCAGTAGTTGCCATCGGGATCGTCTGGGTTGCTACTTCCGCTGCTGCTACTACATCTACATAAGGCCCATAGTCGTAGTCCGAAATGCTACTACTCCGCAGCCGCCTCAAACAGAAGTCTAATGTAGGGGTCGGAGGTAATTCAGGTAGGAACAATGCAAACTTACTTATCTTGTACTATCCCAAACCTCCTTCTGATTATCAATGCCCCTACACCAACCCTCAAGGCTACAACACTACATGTGTAAAGCGCTTGCGCGAAATGTCTGAAGCGGAGAGACTTACACCACTGATTCTACGGACCTGACCGATTCAATCTAAGCTTGCAGCAGCAGGGGCCCTACAAGGGCGCTATAAGAGCTGGCACAAGGGTCATACTAGCAGTGTTAATATTCGAAGGATACCACAAGAGCTAGTAAAAAAGTTGTACTAGAAGGGTTACGCTTCAGGTATCTTTTCTATAGGGACATTTTCCTCAAGAGTGTATTCTGAAGTGCAACCCGGAGAGAAGTCAGAAGCTGAACCCCAGGCCCAAGCCCGATTCCTGACGTATCCTAGAGACTCCAGACCCCCTCGACTTATCAAGGAATATACCCTCAACTACAGGGGGATCCAGATGATTTGAGGCATAATATAGGTACTATACTCATATATTAACATAAGGAGCCCCCAAAAGAGTATAGGTAATGATTAAGGCGCCTAATTACAGTATGCCTTCTCTGGGATCTCATCTCCTTTTGCCGTGAAAGTCCCAAGCCCCCCCCAAGTCCCTTCGTGACAGTGCAGCCCCCTGTCGTGACAGTGACCCACCGGGCCGTCCGTGGCATCAGCGTCGGTCGGGGCCACAGAAGGTCTTTGGCAGCTGGGGGATGGAACGGGACTTTAAAAGGGTCTTTATCAGCTATAGAATTTGTTGGGTATGAAGAGTTATACTTCGCTAGAACTGGCTATAATCCAAAAATCTTGGGATTCGAGATTTATGGATTCTGGGAGCTTTGCATGGCACGGACATTGCGCTTTTACAGAGGTACAAGAACGCTCTGCTTCCTTTTGGTTTTCCCAACTCGTCTGACAGGCCAGAAGACGAGAAGGGGGCAAGGGTGTTTGGAGGTTCTTGGTTAGTTATAAGTAGGGTTGTAAGTCCATTAATATGGGTTATAACCGTAGTTATCCTACTTATAAACCTATACTTATAATTAACTATGAACCTCCAAGAAGTAGGGGTATAAGTTGCAAAAAAGACTACAGATAAGATTCATATCAAAGGACTTATAACGCAGACTTATAAGTACCAACGAACCTCCACATGGGCCATCGGTGACCAGCGTCCAATTTCGGAGAATGACGATGTCTTTAAAAGAGCCCAGCTAAGCTAGGATCAGTCGTCGTACAAGAACAGGCATCCCCGCAACACCAAAAATCCCCAATTCCGAACACCCCTAAAGTGTTGACTGTTGATGAAAGAGACTTCCGGAACAGACAGATGCCACCTTTACCAGGGTTTTAGCTAGACAATGGAGCAGGGCTTTGAGAGACTCCCAACACAGTGATCCCACGCGGGTGCTGTTTCAAAACGTTCAGACTCATATATCAGCCCCTGAGTCAGATTCTTGTGCGCAACATGCATACATGATTGTCAGGGTCACAGGAATGGTGGTACAAGGATTGCACCATTGCACCCATAGAATGGTTCTAGGTCAGTTTTTCGAAGAATTAGCAGTTAAACCTCCCCCGATACCCTAAACCTTAATCCCCCTAATGTAGGGGCCTAGATAAAGTGAACAGTGAATCTGTGTTGGTGGTTCCTTATTGCGGTTATAGTATAATGGTTACCAATACTACCTTGGTGGTTCCTTATTCTAATTCTAGTAGAATGCTCCCCAAACCCTATTCCAATTGCTAAGGCCTCTACAAAGCCCGCTGCTCCGTTCTCGTCCTTGCTCAAGCGATACCACCTCCCCAACGTCGTAGGAAACTCAAAGAACGCAGACAAAGGCCTTTTTCAGCCACGCGTCCTCATGGCCTACCTCGCGTACGTCACGTACCTTCGAGGAAGCTAAAGGTGCACTAGATCTCTAGTCTCAGGCCATGCGTAGCAGAGAAGTTTGCATGAAGGATTCGTGCTCCATCTCACCTGCCAGCACCGAACCTGACCTCAGACCGGCGCGCTGAACTTGCCCACGAAAGATATCCTTGACTTTAAAGTTCTGCTGCTCCAAAGCCTTAAGGACACAAAAACCCTCAACCGTAGACCCCAAATCGACGGCCCCTCGTTGACTGCATGTTGCGCGGGAAGATGTGCATCCGGCAGCGATGAACCTGCAGGCCCACTGCTTGTGTTTTGGCAGTTCCTGGCTTGACATGACACTAGAGTTTGGCTCCGGCGATTTAGGTGGCGATATGCCCATATGCGCTGGGTAGGTGGTGTTTATACCCTTCTGCGAAGGGTATCCGGTGTTAGCGCTTAAAAGCCAGAAAGTTGGAATATGGTTATCCTAAGCCCTTTTATGGTAGATTATAGGGTAGCTGAGTGGATATGCTTTACACTTTTTGGGATAATATTACCCACTATAAAACTCAAAGTGTGCACTTTTGGGGGGTTTATGAACTCAGCAACTAAGAGGGCAAGATTGATTGCGGTGAAGTAACGACAGTTGCGGCTTGGTGGCCTGTCAGAGGGATGCAGCGGCTTAGATTCCACTGAAGTGCCCGCTTCTTTCCCGAAAAGCTACGGACCCCCCCACCACCTCTTTGAACATAAGCAACCCCAGAGGCTCCATGTACCTTTATAGCAGATACTTAGGTCTTAAAGGGGTCCCTATGTAGGTGCTTTAAGGCCTCAGTATATACTACAGGGGTACATGGAGCCCTTAGGGAACACTGCATTACATGCTGAGACTGTAGGAGCGCCCCATAAAGCGCCTTCTGGGAGCCTTATAGCGTAGGGGCTTAAATAAGTACCAATAATATTGTGCGGCGTTCCTTAATATGGTTACAGTATGATGTACTCCAAAACCCTGTTGTAATCATTAAGGCCCCTATCTTAAGTTCCTCTAAGACCCTTAAGAAGTTGACCTTGACTTCGAGGCCGCTTCAATCGCTCGCCCTCGGTCCTCTGCTCCAGGGTTTCCGCATAACTTTACTGCTCATTCAAGAATGTTGGTTTTATTTCGGTTCAGAGGGCGGCTAAGATAAAGCCCCTGGAGAAAGACAGAATTGGAGGTTCATGGTTAGTTAGTAGGGTTAGAAGTTAGGATAAAAATAGTTCGTTTCAGGATTCGACAGGGTTTAGGGTTTAGGTTAGATAGAGGAAGGGTTGGAGGTAGGTAGGATAACCATAGTTATAACCAATACTAAAGGACGCATCATCCCACTTACAACTACCTTCACAAACCCTTCTAAAGGATCGAAGCGGAGACCTTCCTTGTCCTTGTTGATGAAAGGCGGAACGACACGGCAAGGCGTTGTCCACAGTGAGTGATGGCAGCTCGGTTCGCCAAAAGGCTCCTGAATCCTGGGTTTGGAGTACCATACTTGAATACTTTTTTGTGCCTGGTCCGTAAAGGAACCATTATTATGAGATAAAAGTCTATACTTTTGTCTCTCTGGTTACTTCAAAGTCCAGTTGAATGCCATCCCTACACCCCATTAAAGGACCCTAAAGGGCAAGGATAAGGTATATATGGTCACGCGCT